CATTCCATTTATTATGCAATCAAAATATCTGAGCATTTCCTCGCGAATTTATGCAATCGAGCGTACCTTATTATATCACTACTCGCGAGATTATTATAATCTCCGTTCGAATTTTATTTATTCTTTCTCCGTCACTTTTAATGAATTCCAGCACAATACTGAACACAATGGTGAAATATCAGATAATTTCTCGTTTTTTTTTTGCTTGGATTTATTTTTCTGATTTTTTCGCCTCAAAAATGTAACTTTATAATTTATCGTGTAAAACGCATCTCGTCAAATTCAACCGCATACCATCCTCGATACTGGAATTTCATTGATTCGTCGAAAGTGCGCGTGCTTTCTCAAAGAAAGGTTACCAAAATTCTTTTTTTTTTACTACTTAACAAAAGAATAAGCTCTCGGAGTATAATATATTGGATTTTCAATTTTCCAAGAATAAATTATCGTTGCCAATCAATCAAATTGACCCACTTTTACGAATGGAAGGAAAACCATGTATATCGCTTGTAGATAATGAGATTCTTCGTAATGAGAAAATAGAATCTCTGTTAAGGGAAAATCGTTCCCTCGAGGAGAAATCGCAAATGCGAAGAATCAATGGTAAGCAACTGCGGATTGCGCTGGACGACCGCCGGAAATGAGGTAGAAGTTGTAGCGAGAATTTCGTGAATCTCCCGAAGCCAAACTGTTTTCCGCGTGTGCAATTGTTATGGCGTTCGGTAATTGGATTTCGCTATTAGCGATATATGCACTCCATCCGAATTTCAATCCAGAGAAAAATATGATTTTGAAAATAAAATTGCGCAGGACTCGTACAATAAAATGCCTTCTACAATTATCGATACCTTCAATTTTCTCTCGGAGGCTCGGAATAAATGGGAAATCAACCGTAATTCGCGATAAATAAAAGTGAAAAAAGTATCTCGTCGAATAAATAAATAAACGTGTAAAATAAACGGATGAAATATACAATTCAGAGAGATGCATTTCGTAATTATAGATGTTGCCGTTATGCAGTTTCTTACTACGTATAATAGATTTATTTTTATTTGCGAAGAGATGATTTAAGAAAAAATGACCGAGGTAAATAATTTATTTATACGTGCCGCTATTAAATTTAAAGGTAACAATATTAGCGAGTTTAATGAAACTAATGAAACGCAATCACTCTCTTCGTAACATTGGTACAACGCAGAGTTGGTTAGGTCAGCATTTGGGGGCTATTTCGTGGGCCGTTTAATCAGTTCGCCGTGGTGTGTATAACGCAATTTACAATGCGGTGTTGTGCTGCTCCAATTATTCCGAACTGCCATTACGGTCTGAGACGACGTGCGATAAAATCATTCGCCATCGAAATGCGTCGAGGCATGCAAGCGAGAACAATTATAATCGCTTAAGTTCATTTTTTTTCCTCCCGATTTTGTTGCCACACTCGACACGCATGTGTCATCAAATCGAATTGAGTCGCACGAATGCGAGAAGCGCAGAGGAATTTTTAACAACCGACATCGAGCTAGAATGTTTATATTGAAGCAAGTGCAGCAAAGACGACTTAAACTGCTTTCGTGCAAACACAAAGGATCAACTTAATAATTTAAAGCATTATCCCCGTTAAAGCTCCTTCGTCCATCTTTGAATCCGCGGTACATAGACAATCTTGGAGCGTCTGAGCGACTCGAAAACTGGGGTAAACTTACGGATAACGTAGCCATTGGTTGATACCCTTGCCCTTAATCTGCCCCAACATTTCCCAGAAGACCCGGCTCTCGCGACCGTAAATTATGCCCTAAACTAATCATCATTCTCTGATATATATTCGAAGACTAACTCCGACATTAGATGTGTCTCATGTTTATGCGGCAGTGACGGATTTCTCCCCCATCTCGTTAAATAAGCTTCATCTTTCTTCCCTCGAGCTATAATCGAGGCTGGGATTACCTCGAATACCCTAGAAATGTCTCGCTCATAAAAATTCCATGGATCGAGCCATGTCAACAGATAAAAAAATAAATGCTTCTTTTAATACAGTGCTGGGATTTAGTTGCACATTTTCAGCCGATTTTCAGCTTGATTCCTTTTTTATCGATCGGCATTTAGGCTGTGCGCGGATTGGTGAAGTAAAGGGACCAAGCTGAAAATCGATCGAAATGTGCAACTAAATCTCAGCATTGTTTTAATACATAGCGGAGAATGTCTTCTAATTGATGAGCACGTTTAAATCAATTCTATTTTGTTTCACTTAATTTTTTGCATTAATCTATTATCGTCTTCTCTGAAAGAATGAAAAGACTGAAGTGAGCAACGATGCATCAAGATGACCGACAATTAGCGCGAGAAAAACAAATTTTATTTTTCAAGAGAAATACCAACCGCGACCTCTCACTTCCGCTCAGTGGTATTGTCTTATGAGATCATTGTAAATACAATTTAACCGAAGAGGAAGGCACGATCATTGGAACGGCGAGACCGGTGCTTCGGTGAATTAGCGCCAATTAAGTTATAACTTTTTAGCTAGCGCGGCGTGAATACGCGACTGCCACGTAATTTTCTTTGTTCGTACGAACAATGACAAAAAACATTCACTTGTCAGAGATCGTTCCCTTTTAATTTCTCATTTTGACTGCGTTCTTAAATTTATTACCAGCGCTGAAAAATCTATAATTTACGTTACCTGCACTGTAGATTTTTAACACTGGCGATGAATTGTAGAGAAGCCTCTATTATCTATATTGAATTATTATCTATATTTTCTGAAAGATTGAAAAACCTTTATAAACATCCGTATATATTAAATTAATAAATAATGAAATAATAATATCAATATTTCCTAACTTGAAATTACAATACAAATACGATAAAATTTGTAGAAAGATTAAATAAACAAATAATAAAATAATTTATTATTACATCGGCTAAAATATAATACATATATTTAATGTATAGAGTATAATATAATGTATTTTATCATATTACATTAAAAGGATATACACCGAAGAAATTCAGAGCGAGTGAATTCTCTCTCTACAATAATTTATATATTTTTCTTTGCAAAGAATTTTTGCTCGAAAATAAATCACGTGAAATTCTCGACTTGAAAGTATCGCAGTCTTACGAATACGGTTGTAAGACGAGTCAAGAATCGGCAACCTGATGTGAAAAATATATCGACGATCCATCACGATTGAGAGCGCGCCAAAAGCTCGGCTGTCCTGGTGGATTCCTTTGAAAATCCATTTAAGAGGATCCTCGCCGGCGCTTTAATGGATGCATCAGATAATTGAGAACCGCTTTCGAGAGCACCTTCTTCTTGACTTGGATTAAGTACACATAGATTCGCACGAATATAACGGGCGCGCAGCTCGAGGAGGATTACTTTCCCTTCGAGCGGCACCTTCATTCTGTTAAACTTCGTCCTTCATCCTCGTAGTTAAAAGCGAGAGGCTATCTTTAAGAACCAGCGATATGCGGCATTGTGTCGTCATATTTTTCCATGCACTTAATTAGCGTGAGATGAGATCGCCGAAATGAGATTTCACTTTGAAGAAGGTGTCGAGCAAAAACAGAGTTGTAAATATATCATACAACGTTCTTTTTTCTCAGCGATAAGTCTTTTCTAACGAAGGAAAATTTGCTTATACGCGTTTATTATTCAAATTAAATGAAAGATCAATTTTGAAAACGATATATAAAGATAATATCAAGTTTTGATTTAGCGATTTGTTATTCATCACGGATATGTAATATTTATTATACGTATTACTCGTCCGATGTACATATATCTGTATAGATATAGATACATTATCGTACCATTATTTATAGCGCATCGAAGGAACCATTACTCAAATAGTCTCTTTTCATTCAAAAAAACGAGGAGAGCTGATCGAATGAATCTGGCGTGCAGACATCCATAAAAAGATCGGCTCGTGCACGTTTATGCATAAAGGTTTTATAGTGGTGCATAAAGTATTCAGATTTTTGAATTGTAGATATCCAGCGACGGACGTCGGGAAAAAGTTAAAAGCTGGCGATAAAGCATTAACCGTTTATTGCTACTTCCGCCTCGGGGGCAAACGATTCGTTCGGGAAATAATTCAGTAATAATGGATGAGAATATACATTTTTTCGCGCCAGCACGAAGATATACATATGGGATATAATGTCGGGTATGTAACTTAAAAATAAAATCGTTTGTGACGGTGGAAAATATGAAATGGCAAAAGACATAAAAAGTGACAGAATTGTAGCAGCGTTATTTGAAACTGGCGACCATTTTCATTTCCTCTTTTTTTTATTTGTACAATGTATTTGTGTGTAAAGGAGGGGACACACGAACGAAACCATCACAATGATCTAAGAAGCGTTGAAGCGGCGAATCGCTTATTAGATTAACGGTCTAATGGATAACTCCGACGAATGGTTCTATACACGGTGCGTGTTCATGCGTAAATTGAACAAATTATAGAAGAATGCCTTTGGTGTTCGTGGGTGGACACCCTATGCCCCTATAGTAACGTTGCCGCTTTGCAACAGAAGACGATGGTTCTCAAATCTTACTCTCTCTCTCTCATTCGGGGAAGCGTCAGTTTAGCGTCAGTTTAGTGAACCACCATACGATGCTTCGTAAAATTGTTCCGATCGCGTTCCAAATGTTTTATTCAAATTGGCATAATTCAATTTATACGTAGCGCGTGAAATTTATTTATTGATACATTTTATGACGGAGGTAATCTCTTTATATTGATTATTTTTAACGTCAATAATAATTAGCTGATAGTCAGTTGTAACTCTCATAAATATTTCAACTGACACTCACCGAAGGTGAAACATAATAAATTAATGAGGATCGTCGATTGGCTTCGACTGTATGTGACATGAGTACCTCCTTCTTGATTCGTGCAATGGACAAGTGGACATAATTACGTGCGATGATATACGTGCGTGTGCGTGTCGGTGCGTGCGTGTATGTTTAAGATCGTGTGGAACACGATTCGCATCTTAAAGCGAGATCAGTGTCTCGTGGAGGACCGAAGGAATCACGTGCATAAGAAAGAACGTCTTTTTTCAATGTGATTTTGACACGAATTTTCCTTGAACATTTTCGAACCATTTTACATTTGTAACGCGCGTGTAATTGTTCTTGAGAGATGCTACTTCTTGTTTGGATACTCTGTATGACAGGTATCGTATGAAATATTAATGATTACACTAATCAACGTTGAAATCGTTTCCTGTATCAAAATAGTTAATTAATTCTTGATAATTTTTATGATAACGAATATGTCAGTAAAAATTGACTCTTAAGTCGGTTTTCATAGTCAATTCTTATATTATATTCAAGACCGTTTGTATGCAGTCTTAAGATGTCACAATCAATCAAAGAGTTGTATTAACATCTTAAAACATTGCTTAAAATATCTTAAGATTGGATAAATGCTGACTATAGTTTTCATGTTATATTAAAAGTTTAAAAAATCCGAGTTTAAATGTAAGAATTGAGTGATATCATCATTTTTTACGATACGAGTATGAATAGTCATTTTTCGACGAAATTTAGAAGTAAAATTTCCTGCCAGGTGCTACGCCATAAAACCTTCGAAATTGTCACTTTTTACCTCTTTGATGCCATTTTTCTTAAAATTATTTTAAGCCAAACTTGAACAATGGATTCTCATTCAACAGACAAAAATACATCGGAACTGACTATTCACATTCGCGATGCAAAAAAGGATAAAATTTTGTTGCCCGGTGTTGCAAGAATCGCGAATGATATTAAAAGTAGAAAATGTTTGATAGAATCATATCACGTTGTTTTTGGAAAGAAAAAAAGTGAGAAAATTATCAGAATTCCGGATCGTTCATAAATTTCTAGAACTATAACGTTTTGTTATTCTCGCACGCATTTTGAACAAGTATCCGTATTCGAAGAATTGAGTCGGAAGGGTGATAAAAAAACTAGAACGCGCCTCTCTCTGCTCCCGGCTATCTTGCGCTCGGAGGAATATTTTCGCTGACGTATTCGAGTTGTTAAAAATAACTCCTTCAGAGTTTCAGAATTTGCAAGCGGATTAAGAGGGGGAAAAAAAAGTGAATTGCCTGTATTATGGAGAGATCCCTGAGAGACAAGAAAATATTCATTTCTTAAAAGCTCCTTTGCTCCATGCGGCCTCCATGCAGCATTTACGCGAATGTGAATGAAATTGATTCAATTTTCACTTTATTGTTTTCCCACTTTAGATAATCGTCGCGATAACAAAGAACATGTTCGGGCGCAACCTAGTTTTCTCGTGATCGAAACCACACGAGTTAATCGGACTAAAATATCTCCTTATGGCGGCGGCGTAATTATAGCCATATTTCCGTATGAGGATCGATTTTTTCGAGAGGGAAAACTGTGGTCATACAGGGACGTATTGTAAAACTGTGCCTTGTTTGCTTACTCACATCAGACGCATGCAACTTCGGCAATCGATTTGCCCACCCCCGATGTACTTCCGCAAGTGCGTGTGAGAAGGCATAATTGCGTTGTAGTTTCGCTTTCGCAAGGCTGACCTGTTACGTATGCAAGCCGGCGGTCGGCACGACGCTGTATGGCGATCGATCATAAAGAAAGAAATGGATCTCCAGTGCGCGTGCATGCTCGAGGGTTGCAAAAATAAATTCCGCGCTCTCATGCGCGAGATAAGTAACGCGAGGGATTTTGCGTGCCGAGAATCGAAGGAAAGAGAAAAAAACAGGATGATTAAATCTCGCACGGAGGCGCGAACACGATTTCGCAATGCGGCGACCACTTTGCCGCGGCGTCGTTAAATGATAATTTAGTTATTATTATGTTGTATTTGTGGGCATATATCTATATATGTGTATATATATATATATATATGTGTGTGTGTGTGTTACAGGAGTTCAAGCTGCGACAAACCGCGACGGTCATCCAACTACAGTACAAACTTACGAGAACAAGACTGTCTTGCTGCCTTGCTACGTGGAAGGTATATTTGTTATATAATTTAATGATTGATTTTATGCTCTTCGCGTTTCTCCGCGAAAAGATTAATTGTCCGTTTCTTCGTTCGTACTTCTTTCTTCTTTCTCATTTCGTCAAGTGTGCGCGCACGTACGCGCTGGTGTAGAATTACTGCCATTTACGAAATTGCCTGACACTCCACAACCCGCAATCTCAACCCACGCGATAACAAACGCGGGGTGTCTTTTGAAACGTCGTTATTCCTACCTATGCGGGCGTGCAAAATTAGGATAAAGTGGCACATGGAAAAGGGTGTATTTCCGTGCAACTGCCGTAAGCTGAGCTCTGTATCGCCAGGAGCATTATAAATGAATCGTTATAAGTCTCGTTAAAAATCTTGCTTCATTAAGACGAACGTTGATATTTTATATTTTTGCATATTCATTCCATTCTTTCTCTTTTTTTTTTTTGCACGTCAGTTGGTTTACCTTGTTTAAAGAGAAAAAGAAACAAACCCTTTTCTACCGAGGTTTGTTTTTTCGCCCCTTGTTAGCAGGTAGTACAAGTACTACGTGTGTTGGTTTTAGGCTTCAGACTTAAGTGGCGTCTACAGTGAGATTTTAAGGCGTAAAACTCAAGCCTGTCCCGAAATAAAATAGGTATGATAAGCCTTAATTAAGTCTTAAGGAATTAAGTCTTAATCAATTACATCGAATGTGAGAATAATATTTTACTAGAATTGGTTAAGATAGCCAATATTTACAATCGATTCTTATATTTGAGACTGTCTTAAGTACAGTCTTGATGTCATAAACCAATTACATAGAAGATTATATTAGCATCTTGAAAAGTTACTTAAAACAGAAGTTACTTAACATAAGAATGGACGATGAATACCGCTCTACATCTATTGTGTTTCGGGAACTAAAATCTCATTGTAGACGCCACTTCAGGCACGGGCGAGGATTTGTTCGAGTATATGGAAAAATATAGTTATTTCTGCTCGTGTAGACGCGCAAACTAGGGTGAGATGGTGGCGAGATGAGATCCTTCTGGCTGAAAGCAGCTTCGGGCAAGAACAGCAATCGTCCGAACGAATCACCCTGTATAGCAACGGCAGTCTGCGGGTCCACCACGTCCAACGGGAGGATAGCGGGCCGTATGTGTGCCAGGCAATCCGACCATCTCCGTGGGGACACGTCACGCAAGTACACGAGATCGAAGTGATGTGTGAGTACATTGCGGTATGTATATACCCCACGATAAGCGGGATATACCCCCCATATAATGTCCCAGGGGGGGGATAAAATCTGTCTCTTGTATATCGAGACGGATCGACGCGTCGAAAGGATTCTAGAGTTCTTTGCGAAACGTCTATCCATCTCCTTGAGTTCTTGCGGCGATCGCAATCTATCTACGATCGCATCCAACCGTTTGACTTCTACCGATCCCGCCGAGACTCCTCGTCTGACAAGGCGGGGATCTGAATTTTGCACAAACATGACGTAAACGATGTAAAGTTGACTTACAAAATGCGTACAACGGAGATTTTTATTTATTCGTTCGCGCTCCATTCCGCTCAGATCCATCCAGCGTGGAGACGGTACCGGAGCGCGGCGAGCTGGAGGTCGATCTAAACGAGGAAGTGATAATGCAATGCGTGGCGAAGGGTGTACCGGCCCCCGTCATAAGTTGGAGGACGAAGGTAATCGATATTCCTGGGCTATTCGATATATACCATTACCTATATGCCAACGATATTACGCGATATCCGCGTCAAACGTTCCCTCGTTGATGGGAAACGTTTGATGAGAGGGGGAAAATAATGAAAGAACGGAAAAAGAATGAAACTCGAACGCGGATGTCCGTTCGTGAGATTTCTCCCAATCGGATCATAAGTCAATTTAAATTGGAGCGGTGCATTGTCCCGGATGGTAAAGCGTGCTTTTCTTTTTCTTCTTCGCAGGGCAGGGAAATTCCATTCAGGGACACTCGAGCGGTCCTGAGATTTTCCGCCGACAACCGAAATCTTTCCGGCAGGTATATCTGTGTCGCCAATAACGGAATCGGCGAACCGGCGGAGGCGCATATAGACCTACGTATCAGATGTGAGTCCCAATGTATTCTCTGCAGGCAAACCGACGTGTTATTTGCCGTGATTTTGACATCAAAATGAGGACAAATAACGTCAGCTTCCTACCTCATCCATGTGTATCTGTGTACGCTGGGTGACTTCATTATTAGCTGCAATACGGGCTTTACGGAGCTTCGTTTCGGGAGCACCCGCGATTAATCGAGTTTAATTACGACCGCACTGAAACGATCATGCAAATCGCGCCCTATCCTCCTTCACGCCACGTAGCAGCACAATTAAGAAATTGCCGCAGATTGCTCCCTTTAGTACTCCAATCAAACGCATGAGCGAGCCAATTATGCTGATTGTACAGTTGCTACGAGTGTTTTGCAGATGTTAATCAACCTTGTAATGCGCTAACAATCCTTTCGCTTTTGCAATATCAAAACAAGTCTTATATGTACCTCAGAAATGCTGCTTTAAAGACATAAACGACATGATTGTGTACATGTGCGTGCTTTAATGTATATGTGATTAAATAACTAGAGTGACTTTGATCTGAACTTTGATAGTCTATTAACAATCTTATCAAACAATACCTGTTCTATTATAATATTGTTAACGCGGATAGAATTAATTATTAATTTCTCGTTTAATCTAATAAGGAAAAGGATTAGATCAGATATAATAAATTATTTTGTTTGAAATTTTGCTGATTCTGTTAGTTGATTAATTGCCGATTAGTTAATCAGAGCTTTACCGGAATCACCCTAATGCTCATTTCTGCGATAATTTCAGTTTAATTTACTTTTTATCTTTCTCTCCATTATAGAACTATAAAAAGATAAAGATTAAATAAAACCGAGATTCAAGTTGATATACTTTTGTAAAAATGAGCCTAAATCAATTTACTCGAGTGAATATTATCGCAATTGAATCTTTAATCTGAGAGTAGTCATCTTTTTTTTCTTTTTTTTTTTTAATATAAATGCTCACGGGATATTTTTACACTCCAATTAAATTGAAATCTCTATTATTAACAAAATATCGTATATTATCGTTTTTCGATTTATTCGAGAAACTTCGATTTATTCGTATGGACTTAATCACGATTTTCTAAGAAAAGTAAATAGAAATCAAATAAGTATCAAATGGAATAAGCACGTTAAGTACATTAAGTACATTAACGCTTTTTTTATTGCGGATTTTGGGTGGAATTACATATTTAAAAATTCGTAAAACATAGTTATTAAAAAAGAAAGAGGATATGTTAAACAATATCCATACGAAACAATATTCTACAATTCACATTTTTTCGCCGCTGGCGTATAAAAACCCCCCAGATGACTATTCTCAGGTAAAGTAATCTTTTAATGCTGTATGTACATTGAGTATCTACGCAGATAAGCCGGAGATCTACGTGAAGAAACCATGGGTGCATGCGAATCCGGGGATACGAATAACTCTGGATTGCACAGTGTCCGCTTGGCCCGAGGCGAAGGTGAGACTGCTTTTCTCTAAGACTGTCAATGGCGCGCAATTGCGCGTTAATTAATAGTTCGAACAATAATTAACGACGTAACTTGCAAAGAACGTGCACGCGCGTGCAAGTCACTTCGGCATAGTCCTCCCGTAATCGGACTTTTAATTACATGCAAGTACGCGAGCGAACTTCGCACCGGAAATCAGTCGTGGTTGTAGGCGTATCTCTCTTCGATATACTTCTAAGGGTCAACATGATACTATAAATACTTTGCAACATTTTTTTATGGGTTAATTAATAAAATTCTTTCTTTCGATTGATATAAAGCAGATGCTTTGAAGCATTTGTAGTGAAACTTTAACCGCATATTGAAGAGCAATCCTTAAGGAGATTGTAAGGCAAATGCAATATGTTAAGAATTATTGGAAAAATTACAGATTATCCTAAATTGCATTTAAAAGTAATAAAATTAGAGACAGTTGACCATCTGGATGAAAAATTATTTTAATAAAAAGTAACATTTTTTAAATTTGTACTCTAATAGAAATATGTAAAAATGTATTATAAAATAATAATAAAAATCTCAATTTTTTATATAAGTACTTTATGAATTCAAAAATATTTATGTAAAGTTACATTGAGATGCAGACATTAATTGTTCAGTAAATAAACAAAATATTTATTTGTGTGTTATAAAAAAAAAACTAATTGGTGAATCTCAACGAAACTGCATAAGTCGTTTTTGATACTTAAAATATTTATATTAAAAAATTGAGATTTTTGTTATTATTTAAAAAATTTTTGTTTATAACAATAAAAATAATATAAAATAAAATAAATAATCTATAAAAATGTGTTGCTCAATAAAAACAGAATGAACACAATTTTCACATGTATGTAGTTTGTTTAAAGCGTAAATATTAATATATGTGTTTTATGCCCTTACAACTTCCTTAAATCGAGGATTTTCCATAAAAAACAAGAAAGTCGAAAAATAAATACGAATGGAACTTACTTCTGCAAGAATGAAGACCTCGGTCTCTTCCTTCTTTCTCTATTTTTCTGTCCTCTCTCGAGGCCAATGCGAAATTGTATGCACGTGATTACTTGCCTCGGTCGAATAATTTCTGCACCCTTATTAACTACAAAATAACGTAAAATACTTTGAAAAGATAAAACAGGGGTCCGATAGCTCTCACGTATAATATATTGTAAAAATAAATTTTTACGCTCCCGTCCCGAATTCCGAAACTTTAATATGCGATAAAAATGTTCCCTCTTACATCTACAATAACGAAGCATCCGAAACGATACGATCGATCGGGTTTCGACGTCCAATACAAATACGAAATATTTTTCTGGCAATACGGCACTCTCTCGTCTTTTAGATTTCAACGAGTTCTTCACGCTTGGTAACTAAATGAAACCGCCCCTTCTATCTACCAAGCAATTTCTCACCGTGATCCTTTAAAGCTAGTCGCACGTGACAAATCGATTCGTGGGGCACGTGACTTATTATACTTTTTTTACTTCCTCGCAAAAAAAGGACCGAACGAGCCAGGGAGAATTGCGTTATCACAGCACTCGGCGATTCGAGTGGAATAACGTTACCAATATCGTACATCGAAAAATTGTAAAAATTAATTGTTCCGACAAATTATGAGAATTTTGCACTCGTCTCTTTTCTTTTAGGTTGAATGGTATTTCAACAACAAGACGATAAACTACACGTCGCGGATAGTGAAATATAGCACCGAGAACAATTACAGTCTATTGATAAAATACGTAATGTCAAATGATTCCGGTTCCTACACATGCAGAGCTTCAAATTCCATGGGAATCACCGAGAAGATCATCGAATTATCGCAGATCGCGAATCCGGCAGTGTTCCAAAAAGAATCTTGCAGCGCATCTAGCACGTCGTATAACTTTATCTGGTTCGCCGACAGTTACAGTCCTATCATCCAATATCAGTTTTGGTTTCGCAGATACAAGGTGAGAATTCGTTCATAGCTGAATTGTTGATCAATAAAGAGACCCGTTCCATACGAAATCTTGGTAAAATCGATATGAATTAAATCAATATCTCAAAATTAACATTTCGTCCTCTTCTAAATGAGGCGTGGGATCCAGTCCGCGGTTTTCGTGTGTTGTTCGCGTTACGATTCTGATGGCTGCCGCGCATGCAAGAGCTCGCAGGAATAATTGAACAAAAGGCAATGCCCGACGGCTTATTACTAGAATCTTCAGTCATAAAATACGCTTCTTGCTTTAACCGTTACCTGAATCCGCAATAAGGTAAAAAAGAGATGCCGGAAGTGCAGAGCGAAATGCAGAATATTGAAGTAACAAAATATTTGTTGGGTTGTTTCAGCACGCTCTACGAAGATTGAAAGCTGTTTTATCAGCTAATATTTTTTTCCTTCTTTTGAGGGGTAATTCATTTCCTTCATTTTATCAAGTGCCTTTCAAGTCGTCTCGGCCTCGAAATAATTTACAGAAAATGTGAAAAATGTTGGCAATGTAATGAGTTTTCCTGACAAAATATCAGAATGAAATTAATTTAATTTAAATACTTTACCGCCAATGAGAAAAAATAAAATTATTCCGTTCTCACTGTTTAACTTGTAAATTTTGCACATTCTTGTGCAATAATCTTATAACTATATAATAAAACAATATAATATTATGTAGAACAGATTTTTATGGATCGCGCTTTTGTGCCCTTTAAAAATCGATTTCAGCGTGATCGAAGATTTTTACGGATCTATTTTTTAATACGTCGTAGAACTGGCGGCGGTGACATCAGCCCGATGCATGTTCGCTCCTTCAATCTGACAGGGTTGGACGCGGCAACCTATTACGAGGCGGTCGTTTTGTCCAGAAATCGTTACGGATGGAGTCATCCTTCGGAGATACTGCGCTTTCACACCGAAGGAGCTCGTAAGTAATAAAGATAAGTCGTTCGCATATATCCGTTGCCTCCTACCTCTCGTTCCCTCTATTTTGCGCTCGCGCGCGACATAATGATTGCGAGGAAAGATACGTCCGTAAGAGGAAACCCAGATCGTATGTGATAGTATATCGTGTCCTATTTTGCTCGTTGCAGCTGTCGATTCCAGCGAAAATTCCGAGATGGATGATGATCAAGAACAGAACAGGATAGCAGGTAAATCTGACTTCTATTTCAATTTTTTTTTCTTTTAGCTAATTGCTAAGAATTAATCTTAATCCCTCTTGTATCCTCGATCATACTAAACTATATTAAAAATTTTTATTTATATCGTGACCTTATTTATTTTGGCTTGAATATAAAAATAATTGTTAAAATTTTCCTCATTACTTAACATCTCGAAAATTCAAGAATTATCTTTTCAATTGACAATTATAAAAATAAATTATGTTATTTAATTCAGTTGTGTATACTCTTTTATGTCAAATGGGACATACATATCTTAACATATTCAAAAATCTATACAATATCAAATATTGAATTTATTTAATTAAGATTAAATAAGTTTCCTTTAAAGAGATTGTTAAAATTTTATAGAAAAGAATACCATGATAAATATGTGTATATCATCTCACGTTATTCTTAAGCAGAATTACGATTCGTAAGATATGTGCGAGAATACAAAAGAAAAGAAGTTTTAAAAAATAAAATAATTAGTAATTGTTAAAGATTAATAACTTGTGTTATCTGTTTGTAGTCATACAGCTGCCTTCAATGTCGCAGCATTATCTTCTGACAACGGATGCAAGCGGATCGATTTATAATCAATCGCAAGTCTTATCGTTGATATTAAGTACGCTATGTATTTTAATCATAACACGCGATAGATTTAACTAATGTTGTATAAAATGCGAAGAATATAAAGTAGATTGTTGTAATTTATACGTATATGATACGGCTATTGTTAAATATTATCGTTATCAGTCATGTTTGCGCATCAATGAATCATTTTCATTAACGAAGATTATAGTATTATTCTTACATGGTTAGTTCACTCTGAACAATCATTAGTCATAATATAAAAAAAAATTAGAGTATAAATTTTTACTGTTTTATAATTTCATCTTTAAATTTTTACTGCAATTTTTGATTGTATAATTAAAACCGAATGATTTGTATAATTAAAACGATATAAAAATAAGTATTAATAATTTTAGCAAATTAATTTCGTCGGTAAACTCTGTTGCATAGTTCGGAACCTGCCTTTTATCACTTGGAAATAATATCGTCAGTCGAGACTAGTTGCAGAAATTTTGCTTTATGTAGAATTTGTCTCGGCAAATTCTACAAATGCTGTATTATCGGCCAATTTTCGTTTTGTTTTTCTCATAGTTTATTTCCCTATCCGTACCTTTCGCAAATAGTCTCGGTGTCGAAATAAATGTGCGAAAATGTTGAGAATACAATAGGTTTTACTGACAGGACATCATAAGGAGTCATAATGAAATGAATTTAATTTAAATGTTGTACAGCCAGTGAGAAAAAAAGTGTAATAATTCTGGATCTTACTGCTTGACTGGTTGTAAATTGTTTTGTATTCTTGTACAATTATCTTATAATTATATAATAATATAGTATAATATTAATATTAGACAGATTCACACAACGTCCGCAGTATGAAAAGGGATGCTTGCCCTTTGTTTTTTTTTCCTTCCTTTTTTCCATTTCTATTTTCTTTTGCTATAATATTCACTCCCATGATGACTAACATATGTAGCGCAAAATACTTGATAATCGGTCTCGTTTAAAAGTGAAAAATGTGTAAAAACGTGAACCCTCGATGCAACGACAGTATAGAGCATTGTTTTTTTTTGTTTCTGGGAAGTTAATTCGCGATGTACTGTATTCCACTTGATTTTCTTTTTTCTTATCTCGTAATAGTGGTTTTGGGTTTTGCTGGAATACTCCTAATTCCTGTCGGTAGCTCGAAGTTTCTCCTCGACAGCCTCCTCGGATGCCTCCGACAAGTCTGTCGCCTGTATATACTTTTGCACACCGACCAGCGACTTTTTCAAAGCATCGAAGGAACTCGAGTACAACATCTTCTTCTTAACCTTGGCCGTGTCAGGACACCACGACATCAGGAACAATTTCTGTTTCTTGGATGCCTAAGAAAAGAATAACACACAATGATATATCTTTAAAAAAATATTTATTATCGAATAGCTCTAACAATATTTTTTATGTACATATCAGTATATACGAAGTATATACTCATAGTTTATATGAAAATAGATATGGTCAGATAATTACCTCGGAAGTACCCTGACATTGATGGGTATATTCAAAGTCAAACAGGCCATAACGGCATTCCCCGCTACCGCCCTTCTGTAAATCCTCAAGGAAAGCGTCGTAAGCCGCGTCGCGAGGTCCGATAACTTCAACATCTATCTGCCTTTCGTCTTTGATGTAGAAAATCACATATCGGTGCTTTTTGTCTTTCTTTATCTCCTCGTACGTTGTCTTGCAAACGTCCGCGACTGTTACTCCAGATGCCTAATAAAACACATGTAAACAATACAGATTATTGTGGTGACAAAGTGAGAAGAAAAAACGAGATAAGTGACTACAATGTTTTATTGACGTTTTTAAAACGTTAACGTATTGATGTATTATCGCGTGTATTTTATATCTTCTTATCAATTTAAGGAAAAATCTCCGAGATATTTTTTTATCAGTATATAATATTTCATTTCGCTCGAAGGTTATTTTATTACGAAAGGAATTGAACATATAGAACCATATATAGAATATATTCGTTGACATCTGTCAGTGATGACCTGAACACAAAATCGCATGAATTTCATCGTTCAATTGACTGTCGCCCTACAATGGTCAGGTTGATTGGATCAGTAGGACCACCTCGCGTCAACATGATAACATCGGCATTCAGCAATCGGCACACGTCGCACGCTGCCGTGTCAGTCGGGCCGTTTAAGCCCATTTCGCGGGCAAAATACGTGGGGGACGCGCTACCGAAATAAATTCTTCCCACGCGCGAATCCCAACGCTAAAAGAGATCCGACGATCCACTTCTAAAGTTATCCCCTGGCTCTCAGGCACGTGCCGCGCGCTACGAACTTTCAGCCGGTCGTCTTTTCTCTCCGCACCGCGGAAATTCGTGAAATACGACCATGCTGGATTGCCTTGATATTAGGACACAAATGAACTAAAGGAAAAGGTCGAATACTTTTACCATTTCCAATTCTTGCAATCTCAACTTTTAAATTGTATCGTTCAATAAAAATATCTAAACTTATGAAAGAGAATGATCGTCCGAATCAATTTCAAATTTGTGGCCAAATATGGATCCTATCGAGCATCAAAAAGAGCTATAAGAAATTCTTTTTCTTAAGTCGTTTTTTGTCAAGTTGTGTTATTTTACATTGAAAAAAAAATGTTATATCAATGGCATTATTTTAATTGAAAATAATTGAGCCTGATATATTTAACAAATTATATATTTATTATAAAATAAATATTATAATTTGACAAATATACCATATTCTTGTTTTGATACAATTTTATTTGTTTGATTAATACTGTTATGAATTAAGAAAATTAATTTCAATTAAAATAATGTTGTTGCTACAACATCATTTTTCTTTCAGTGTATCTACACAAATCCGATGTTCCACATCGCTACAAATTTTCCCTCAGTTTTGGCAAATGTATGAAAGTGAAATTGGCACTCAAAGGGTGACCACTTGATCTTCCGTGTCGTATAAACATCTATATTTTGAAAGTTACAGTATTCGATTAGAGATAAAAATTACTACTACGTCTTCTAATTGTGATAAATATTATATTAAAAATAATTTTATATTGAATGATTATTGAAGTTACATCCAAATTGCGGATATTTTTTGTACGAGATTCCTCCTGGCTGTTCAATTATCGACGTTCAGTCTCGTTAAAATGACGTCGCATAACGTCAGCTCGAATTTCGTGGAAGCAAATGAATATTCGCGAGGCGGATTCCTGATCGTTAATTATGGCGTGAGGCTCAAATACGGACGTCCTCGATAGCCGACACCCGTACTAATGCATCGCCGCTCGTTCCACATGACCGAAGAAACGTAGCGGATATGAATCGGAGTGCGAGGGGGATCCTGCGAGAAACGCGACGATTGGAGGGTGGCCGACGAGAACGCAGAGGATGCAATTCCTGGGTCGATATCCTAACAGGGTGGCGACAGGGGACGCCGGTTAAAAGGGGCTCCCTCTTCTGGGGCGTGTTGTACCCCTTAGCGCAAGCCGCACATAAGGTCAGGCCGAGGATGATTCATCAATAAATCTATGTGCTTTCTTCAGCTTTCTACATTTAATTAAGAGAAATATACACGTATCAGATAACATGAGCGAGGATTGCAAATTGGAAATTGATTAAAGCATTTTCCACTGGGAAAACTAGTGTAACACTGATGCACACTGAGTGCAATTGAATGCAAATTGATTCACATATTTTTAGTTTAATAAATAATTTAATCCTTTTAATTACATTCTTTGTCGTCACGATAACCTTATAACATTGAAACGATTAAATTATTTATTGACATTGAAAATACGTAAAACCGATTTGCACAAGTGTTGCATGTTTTCCCAGTGGAAAAAATTTATAGTTTAGTGGAAAAAAAGCTATAAAACTGATCCAGTGAGACAGTGCACTGTAACCAGGGCAGTGACCGTGTAATTTTTTTCTTAGAGTGAAAACATTAAGAGTGACAAATTTCTCTATTACCTTCAATGATAAAATTTTCACTTTTTCGCCTCATAGAAAAAAATTACACGACCGTTATTGAGAAGTTGACAAATTATGATATAATGTGTCAACTTGCATAATTATTATATTTTGAATTTCACCAATAAAAAATTTGCAGAAATTTGTTTTTGCTTTTGTTATCTAACATTCTCTCTTGCTACTGTATACATATGTATATAATATCTTAGCTCGTAAAGTTCTAAAATTTTACCATGTGGCCATTCATAGAAAAAATATAGTATTGAAAAAATATAATATTAACTAGTGTAAACTGAAGTTATTTAACAGATAAAAATCTTTAACAGATAAAAAATTTATAATCTCTGTAAATATTATAATTTGACAAAAACTTTAGACTTTGCAAGAAACAAAGTATAGCTAATATCTATCGAACAATTCGTGCTCTTTTTTCCAATTTTCGACTGGCAAAAATCGATCATGAAGTAACGCTGCTTTGAGGGGTGACAAGATAAGAGGAAGACTGACGTGAGCAAAGAGTTTAATCAACCGACCGCCGTCATCGCCACGAGACGTCAGTGAACTTCGAGTGCTTTCTCTCTCTCTCTCTCTCTCTCTCTCTCTCTCTCTCTCTCTCTCTCTCTCTCTCTCTCTCCCGCAAGAAAATAACCGACCTCCTTACAGGCTCATTGAATTTTTCCCTCTCCCGTAGCTACTGGCGCACCACTGCCGTGCATCGCGCCTCTCTCTAGTTCACTGTCATCGTCGAGGCGCGGCGAGGTGCGAGAGGATACCAGAGGGGGAGTTAACAGATCGGAGAAGGGGACAGTTTTACGAGAGCCTCTTCTCACCAACAACGCCAAGATAAACGTTTCAGGAAAAATGACTATTCGAGTGTACATTCGATATACATTTTCCTTTCTAAATTTCGTTTCTAAATTTCGAGAGTTTCAACACTTAGCCGTTCACATTCCATTGTATTGTAAATTATTAAATTTTGATACAAATATAATTAAAAGGTATATATGTAATTATTTGAAAATTGGAAAATTACAAAAAATTGGAAAATTATCGAAGAAACTCTTCATTACATATATACTTTTATAATTGTACATGTATCAAAATTTGATAAGTAAATTCTTTTTAAAATTAATTGAAGAACATTTTGTGCTCGTACATAAGATTCAAGTTGCGTTTTCGAATGCTTAGAGTTCAAAATTCTTGATATTTTTACCACAATAAAATCGACTTCAAATCCATTGAGTTCAACGTTACGACAATCATGTGTTCTTGAAACACCTCGTACGCGAATAATAAATTTTTACATGGTTGAGAAAAGCTATCACGTCACTCGACGAGTTGCTCTATAATTATTTTCATGGATATAAAATTCCTTCGTGGGAGAACAGTCGACGAAAGGGTGCCGCGGAGGCGAACCCGCGAAGGGTTAAGGTCGTGCTTAATCGCACTGATAGGGAACGGTGAGACGGCGATATGACGCGATAAGAGCATCGAGTCACGGTCTTATTTATATCTGCACGAATTGCAAGTGGTTTTGATAAAGGAACGCAAGCCATCTTCGTTACGCGAAGTTGCAACTTTTTGCGATATTAACTGGACGCTTCCGCTATCGTCGCTTGCCTGCGTTTCGCAACTTCGGGCTGTCCCTTATTGCATCAATCTCACTCTTACCGAATCCGCGTCGAGGGAGTCACGTAAAGAAATAATCGGATTTTAATGTCAATGTCAATGGAAGAAGTTTTGGCACAACAAAGGAAAATGTATTTGTTAGCGCTGAAGACCCTGTTTCTGTTTTTGGTCTCAACTACTTTTTAAATTTTTTGAAGTGAAACTTCACTCTAAAGAATGAAAACTGAACCAGTCTTGAGTTGCAATTTTCAATCTTTAAGAACGGGATTTCATTCTTTTTAGAATCAGATTTACTTCATTAGTTTTTGGGAATATATAATACATGGCGAATACAATTCTTTAATAATAGATATATTAAAATAAAATAAGTTGCTTTTTTCAGTATACTTGATAGCATTTTTTATGATCTGATTATTGATGTTATTGATTTGTTTGTTTCTGGAGCTTTTGTTAAATCATTGCCTATCACAACAGTTGTTACAGAAAGAAAGCGCGTCAATTAAATGAAGTATGAAATAATTAGCAACGTTAATTAAATTAATTAGTTATAATTAGACCTTAATTTTAATTTTGTGTTTGGCAAAATCGTGGCTCTGTGAAAATTTTCGTAGAAAATTTCGTAGAAACGTGCTTTCAAATGACGATCACGGCACTACGAGACATTTGATCAACACAATCAATTACGAAGAAATATTGGCTTGGTTTCTTGAAAGATGAGATTCCAGAGATTCTCAATTAATATATAAATCAACGTGATTTTAAAGGCGCTTTTTCGGCTGTAATAAATATAGATTACGAATTAAATCCCTGCAATTTATCTTTCTCTCCCATTCCAAACGTATCAAGTATACATTGTATTCGTTCAAGCGGTGGATATAACGTGATGTAACCGGAAGAAAAGCCTGCCATTTCTCGCTGTCAATGGAAATTGATTGCCATCGATTTCCGTAGATCGCGACGCGCCGATTGAGCAGATCATCGAGATAATGTGAGAAGATTCCAGCGATCTGTCGACGATCCCGGTGGGAACCACTGAGTGAGATTCGAGTAGAAGTGGTTGCTGATAGCACGTGATTCGAAGCGCCCACCCGAAATAAAACAGGCGACGTTTTCTTGAGGATGACACTCAATAGTGATCTCGCCTCTTCGATTCCGCTCGCGGAATTTCTTTCCCAATGACGTTCCATAAAACATGATATTATTTATCAAAACTCGTTAACTCTCCAGTAAACATCAACTAAAAATAACATCAATAATAAAGCATTGGAAAGCTTGATTGTATTAATTGAAATTCTGGTTGAATTATATATCATGTGTATATTACAATTCTATTATAATTCTAATTGGGATAATCAGAATTCTGATTGATATGATTAGAATTTTCTGAATTGTTTATTTTCAACCCAAAATTTTTCTCAATATGATATCAAAAGTAATATAACATCAATAATTGGGTCAACAGAAAAAGCAGCTTTGAAACTGTCGTAGAATTCTTTAATATGATTGGTTTTTAAGTTTAATGCACAATTGAAAAACAAAAAAAAACAAAAACAGGCAATAGAAATAGGTAATAATAGATCTCTAACAGGAATTATGTATTCTGGTATATATAGATTGAAATCTGTCATTTCCTGTTTTTATTACTTGTGCTTTTTAATTGTGTCTAGACTTTATTCTTGATTTCTCATTGGCTCTAAATGTATATTAAATGTATATATGTATGTAAATAATTATATTAAAGAATCTTGTTGCAAAATTACTTTTTCTGCTAAGCACAGTTGTTACACACACACACACACATTATTTATACACACACACACACACACACACACACACACACATATACACACATGTATATATGTTATATCATATTTATATTGTTGAGGTCTAGTTTTTTATTATCTGGTTAATTGTGGTTCAGATTTAACCTCGTTTCTTGATGATAATGTACAAAATGTATTTTTCTATGGTCAGTAAACTAATGATAACTGATTTTGTAATTATATCTTAAAAGTCACTACAAAATATCACTTTAATGGTTAATCATAGAAAAATATCATTTTTACATCATCAGGTTCAATCCAATCACAAATTAACCAGCAAATGAAAAACCGGGCCTAAGTGTGAAATTATAACATTGACATATGTTACTTTCAATTAGTTTGCTAGCTTTCCTTAAACTCATGCAAAAAATAAATTTGGAGAAAATGATTCAGGAGGTCCAAAGACCTTCAGAATACATCATCGCCTCATTATTTATTTATTATATTTTTAATAACGGCCACGCGTCATCCTCTTCTTCTACGTAGGTTAACACATACACACACATACATATATTGAGTCATCCAAAAAGTATCCGAGATTTTTTGTCACTAGATGTGTTTATATATATATATATATATTGTATATATACTCGATTTAACCAAGTAGAGCGTGTCACATGCGCGCGCACAATCGATGTTTTTATCTAACGAGAAATGATAGAAAATATAAGTAAATAAATAAATACACAAGGCTGCAAAGGCGCCATTACAATGTTATGGTTACTCGAATCGAGTCACCGTCATTCTTTCGCGGCGAGCCGTTACCTTTTACGTCGTTTTATCAAGGCGATCGTCGCGACGTCCGGAGGTATGTTCTCCGGAATGCTTTACGGTAATTTCGGCGCATTTCGAGTTTCTCCCTGGACGTCGCACGCTCTCGCGTTGAAGTAAATCGAGATTATCTCCTGGACGGAGCTAAAAAGAGATGAAGCCGAGAATCGAAATCCCAGTTAACTTGAATTTAAAATATTTATAGAAATGGCCCTATATCACGAGACACCGATTTTCATGGATACAGAATCGAACTCGTGAGAGTGACAAGACACCGGTTGCAATCGGATGCAAGACAGAGTAGGAAAAAGAGAGAGAAAGAGAGAGAGAGATAGATCGAGATAGGAGATAGAAAGAGAAAAGATAGAGAGAAAGAGAGAGAGAGCGAGATGGAGAAAGACGGAGCGAGAAAATGCAATCTCCCAGCATAAAAGCGCGATCTCACGCCGCGGTGACGCGCGATTCTCCGTCGTCACTGATCGGTCGGTCAATTAGCTCGCCGAAGTGGAAATGAATCATACGCTTCCTGGAAACGACGGCGAGTCCGTGCGTGCTGTCGCAAGGATCGTCACCGTCGCCGTTGCCGCGGTAATCCGCGCAGGAGGCTAAATAATGAGGTCTGCGATGGAGATAGACGAGAGCGGAACGATGATACGTGGCCGAGACAAGGCCAGAAGACGCCGCGCAGGCGACTCGCGAGATTCTTCCGGGCGGTCGCCGTTGCGAGAAAGGAGGCGTATCTCGGAGCCGGGCAGCAATGGCCGACCGGCGCGTCTGCTGCGGCCATAACCACAAAAAGGCCGTCGTCGGCTGCCGGGTCGGGTCGAACCTCGCCCGTCGCCATAGACAGATGCCGCGATCTCGACGTCGCGCGTTTACGGAACGTTCTTTTCCCTCGCCGAGGTAGTTAATATCCGCGAATTGTGCGATTTGCAAAACGACGGTGGTGATGACGACGACGGCGGCGGCGGGGGCCGCTGCCGTTGCGTCCAGATATTTACCATTTTCCGTAGCGAGCGATGTAGCAGTGGGCAGAGTCACGAGCACTTTAACCGACACTTTCCCGGTGTATCTCGGCCGTGATGGAACTGGATAGCGGCGTAGTGTCCAGTCGAAGAGATCGCGCGGCTGGCTCACACGGGCGAACGGGAAGGGAGGCTCCTCTCTCACGACCAGCCGGCTATCTCTCTCTCTCTTCCTCTCTCCACGAATCCTGTATCCCTACGCCTGCGCGCGCAGCGCCGCCACGGCCCGCCGTTCCGATTGGCCCGCGATGGGATGCCCGCGCCCCGTCAAGCGTCGTCAAAAATTCGCGGTTGCGCGCCACCGCGCGTTACAATAGGCGCGCGAGACAGAAAAATCGCGCGAATCGGAAATCTATCCGATATTCGGAACGAAGTATGCTAGTCGATATTGTAAAAGAATGAACGCGTCGGATAATTAATGCGTCGCGCCCGACGATCTGTGAATCGGATAATTAATGCGTTGCCGACATTCACGTGAAACGAAGCGGCGGGTAAAATGAGAATGCGCGACAAATACGAATTGAAATTAGCGGCGGGGATAGTAAACGCGATAACGGCGCGAATTTCCCAATAGGACGACCAAGGCCGATCCGGCGTGTACATACGCGACTTACGCAAGATCGATTCGCGGACACGCGACTTTCGGGAGGAATCAGTCATCGACGCGGGACGTGCCGGTCACGCGGTCCAATCGCCGCCAGGGACGTGGGGAAATTGCCTTATATGGGCAGCGGCGTGCGAACGATCTGTCCGGCGCACACGCGTCGCGACTGCGCGCCGAGTCCTCGCGACGCGCATTGAAATATGCGACTGCGAAATGTCGCGATCGGTAAAACAGGCTCAAGAGCATATCGAGTCTATGCGCGTGAAAAAATTTTCAATCCACATTTATATGGGGTAGTAACGGTCTTGAGTAGTAGAAAATTGACCAATCATAGTTGATTATTCTTCTCATATTCGACAGTAATTGATTAACTTTCTATGATTTAAAATCCTACAACCGCTACGACTTTCATTGTAGACTTCGCGTAGGATATCGAAAATATTTATCGATATTTATTCATCAGATTACAATTATCTTAGTTAATTATTAACTTCAAGTAATATTAAGTAACGTTAATCAGCTGTTAACGTAGATACAATTATTAATTTTTTGTTATATAACATCCAGTAAAAACGACTGACAGTTATATTTAACATATGAAAAAAAGATGAGATTAATTAAAAATATTACTTTAAATGATTTTATCGAATTTACTGAATTTTAATCGATAAATTAAATTATTTAAAATTTATTGTTAGTCGAGGCCGCTATTAGATTTTCTGTTAGGATAGATTTCGTGGAAGTACAATGAAAAGCAAAGATGATGCTCGATACAGAAATTATATGCGAAACATACCGTAACAAAATACAGAATTTGTTGACAAACATGATAATGCGCTTAGTCGATCTAAAAAATATATATGAGATCGTCTAGTAGAATAAATATAAAATCCTAATAGAATAAACATCCCCATCCACACACGCACACACATACATGTATATATTTGTTAAATACTGTTAGCAGTTACATAATTTACAATATTATTAATTTTGTACATAAGAAAGTGGCATCATTACACGTTTATTACAAAAAGATCAATGTATCTTGAGCAGATAGTATATACTTTAAGATTTGCAATAAATTATATAATTACTAGTAATAAAAACTACTGTATGTGAAAAATATGTATTAATAAAGGAAACACGTATTGCAATGATAAAAATTAGTACATATAAACATAAAGTATCTTATATGCATGTGTGATGTTATGTATCTCGACATTAATAGCAAATTATATATATGTATATAAGTAAATAAAAATTATATACAAATATTATATATAATATATATTATTACATATAAATGTATATATAATTTGCTATAATATACTATATATATATATATATATACTAGTTTATAATCTTATCCACTTCTTATCGCTTCTGAGTATTATAAGTATAAATATTGCGTCTATTTTATGCCATTACTTGGCACGATATCCTTATATGGCGATCATGTAGAGAATTACATGGCTGCTCACTGTTCCAAAGATTTAAATCCATGCCCAGAATACATATACCTCAGATTTTATTTGATCACCTCTCGGAAGGCAATGGCAAATCAAAAAACTGTAGATTTCATATATTAATGGATATATTATAGTGATATATAGAAGAGGTAATCACATCTCTAATAAGAATACGTTTCGTTTTCATGCTATAAGCATCAATTCATCCGTGTTATCTATTAAATATTGAACAAGGGCAAATGATTACAAGCGCAAAACGGAATGCATCCTTAGAAATGATGGAGACGAAATGAATATCGAAAAAGAAAGAGAAAAAAACATTCATCATTTTCTCGAATGCATAAATTTCGCTATTATTACGTTAACAACAATAACAGCGTAGAAAACGTATCTCTGTGTAACAGAATTGACAACTTTCGGCTAAAACTGAAAGACAAGAGTGTCCATTAAATCGAAGAAAGATAACACTCTCATCTTTTAGTTTTGGAAAGCTGAATTCAAAGTTGTGTTCCAAAATTGACTGCCAGTAATAAAAATCTATAGTAACGTAAACTATAGCATTTTCAGTGCTGGCAGTAAATTTGAAACACGGCATTATTATGTACAGAATACATTTTCTGTTACTGTTGTTAATGCAAACGATAGTAAAATTAATATATTCAAGAATATGATAAACTTTTACAAATAACATTGTTCAGATTTCTCTCTCTCTCTCTCTCTCTCTCTCTCTCTCTCTCTCTCAAATCCATCGCCTGTTATCAGTGGTAACCTGGTAATCTCTTTTGTATATATCACTTCTGAATATACGGGACCTACAATTTTTTCAAACATATATTACATAAAAATAAGAATCGCTTTCTACAGTTTTACAGTATTTAGCAATAGGGCTATACACAGTTACAATTTCTTGACAATATTTCCTAGATTAGGAAAATAATAATTTATTATATGGTTAGAAGAAAGATTCTGAAGTTTCTTGTACTTAAATATATTCCCCTCCCTCCGCCCCTAAATACACGTATGTACAATTTTGATAAAAGAAATGTAGAGACAATGAAGATGCCTTATTACAATTTATAATATAATGTAATACGATGCAACATTCATTTTGTACATATTTTCTACATGTCATATATCATAAATACAATTATAAAATCGTAATACATTTCGTTTGACACAATCTTTTTCAGCAATATTAAAGTAATAAAAAAATAAGTAAACAATGAGACAATATATTAACCTATTTTTAAATAAATTTAATTTGTTTCTTTTTCAACAAGAGAATCGGTATTGCTAAAAAAAAAATACTTTTTTTATCATTACATTAATATGTAGGATCTCAAATGATAAAAATTATAATTCAAAAACATTGAAATATTTATATACAGTTTTGCTTTTCCTCAATAGAAATTATTAAAGATATATGAGTAAATTGAGAAAGATGTCAAAATAATAATATACTGTACATAAGTGAACAACACAAACAGAATAACGTATAGAATATGTGAATTAAAAGGTATAAGTTTATCTAATTGATATTGATATTGTAGTATTTATGTTAATTATACATATATCTTCCATTTTTTTCTGATAAAATGGCCTTTTAATAAGATTTTTATTCTATTGTATACAACGTAAAATCTTATATCATTTACTGTAATCAAAGTTGATTTTTATATAAATGATTTGTAAGAAATTTAGTTATTTGGCAAATAACTTGATCAGTATAAATATGTCTTCCTTTTTTTTTCTATTTTTCATTTAAATATTATAAGATATCCAAGTAGCACAGTAACACTTGTAGAGCGTTAAAAAGTGATTATATGCACTTTTTTACCGCTTTGTGAAAATTGTATGCTACTTGAGATACTATGGTTGTCTCTTATGTGCATTGGAAGATATGTGATAAAACGTAAAATAATATTTTTTCGCAGCATCTAAGTAATATATCTTAGTAACCTTATTCCTTAAGTACTGTCATTATTAATCAAATTGTTCTATGTACGCAATTATTGCATGTGTACAAAATTTTTCGTCCAGCAATGACAATGTCGCTATTTGGAGTACATAATAGGAACCGATTCGTTGAAATCTTTTTGAAGAATTGGAACCTTAATTAAAATCTCTTTAATACATTGAGTACGATGATGAATGATGGTAGTGATTATCGATTCTTTTCATAGATTTTAATGGCAAATAAGAGTGCACAATAAAATTTTGATTAAATTATACAGTAATGATTTCCAATATATATATCCTACATAAATAATATATATGCGTCACATATCCATATATATAGATATAATCATTAATCTGACATTATATTATAAAATTCTAAAAAATTTAATAACAAAATTTCCATTAGATACCATATAGTTTGTATCATTAATATTCCTTTATTTATTATGTAATACAGTATTATTTAATCCTTCGTGTATAGGGAACCACTACCACTCAACGTATTAAACAGATAAATTCTTCATTAGTAGTAACATTGCAAGTATAGTTATAAATAATCTAATCTCTCAGTCAATCATTATAAGAACGTATCCCCGTTCTTGTTATTAAACAGAGCATTCGATAGATGAGGTGATATCTTTAATTGCAAGATAACCTCGACAACTTAGCCTTATCGTATCTTTATGACGTTTAAGACATATGAACTGTTAGATAAGACCGCGTTTCTTTTTGTAATCTTCTAGGTTTAACGATCGGCGAGGTCCTGTATCCTTGATATTATTAATGGGTTTCGGTAAAACGCTAACAGGATTGTCTAAAAATAAAATTGTACAAATTATATAAATATTTGTACTCTACTCTGTATATCTCGTTTTGTTTTAATTGCTGGGAAATTTATAATTTCTTACAATACTTCTTGCAAAACTTACTTGGAATAGGAACTTCCAAATCGATTGTTATATCAAAATCATGTGCGTCAAATAGATCTTCTGTACTTTGCTTTTTCTTAGATTCCTGTCCGTTCTCTTTATCAACAGCCGACACTGAATCTCCAGTCGGATGAGGATTCGATTTATCATTTACTGGAACTGCTACCACTTCAGACTCATCTTCCGGCTTATACACCATC